TGTGTGTGTGTGTGTGTGTGTGTATCTGAGCAAAGTCTTACAGCTTATCATGTTCCAGAGGTAAAGGCCCTGGGGTCCATGCAGTGTCTCATATGGGCTTCCGAAAGCATTGTAAAAGAAGAAGGCACAGGACACTGTGGAGAAGACGATGAGCACTGCGCAGAAGAAGATCACGCTCACATGCAGACTGGCTGGGACCACGTCCATCAGGTCAGGGAAAACTACACAGAATAAAAAGATGTCGAACATGATCTCCATCATTTGAGTTTAAACTTAGAATGGGTGAGGATTTGAATTATTCTCATCCATATGTGAGGAAAATGTACTGGGACTCAGTTTTTAATTTGTCATCAGTGTCTTCAAGCTATTGTGAGTGACTAGCTATTGTTTCATTTTGACTCTGACTATTATCTCCGAATAATGTTGAGGATAAGATCTGAGTACAGTATGTATGAAAAATGATTTCACTCATTAAAAGTAATCTCTGATCATTTTTGCCCACAATTTGCTTGCTTCTTCCTGTGAGTAAAAAAAAAAAATTACAATGACAATATTCTTTTGTTCTGCTAAAAGTCTGGCTCTCGACTCTGGGGCTTTTCCAAATCTCATTAGGAAAGAATGAATCATTGTACATGAAGCTGTCACAGAAGATCCATCTGAGCCCCATTCAAAACCCCATCAATGAGACGAGTCCCTCTCAAAACTATAATCTGATAAACAATGAACCAGTCTCATGAAGCAGCCCCTTAGACTCTTTTAAATCTATTTATTCTATAGAAGTAGTTTGAAGGGGATTTACATGCTATGCATAAAAGATGTAGGAACAATTTTCCAAAGCATTAGACTGATGATGAATAAAAAATGGGATGTGTTCATGAAAGTCATTTTTTATATACAATCATTTGAAATAGGTTTGTTACACATCAGTGGCCTCAAAATGTATTTGGACCTTTAAAGAGAATTGAATTGAAAATTCTGTCATCCTTCACCCTCATGTCATTCCAAACCTGCATATCTTTCTTTCTTTCATAGAACACAAAGAAGAAACGTTGACTAATATATCGGTCGATCTTTTCCAAGCATTTACAAAAGCTTTAAGGCTTCATAAAGGATGCAAAAGCAGTATAACAATATGAAAGTAGGCCTATACGCACCACGCACTAGGCCTATATACCAAACCTCCTGATGCCATATAATAACATTAAGAATCAATATTTAAAAAGTCACTGCATTAGATACAAAATCAGAAAGCACACGTGACACCTGCAAAGAAATGATGCAAGAGCTTTCCTGATCACTAACTTCACTTTTCGGAGCCATTTTTGCGGTGTCCTTTAACCAACTGCTGTCACAGGGATTTGAAGTCACTTCCCTTCAAGTTCAGACAGGTGAAGTTCAGTTCATTAACTAACAGGTTCCACTATTTGCGACCACAAAGATCACAATACTTTCATCATTTTGTACAGCATATCTATTGTTTTATGGTTTAACATACATTTGTTAATTGTTATGCTTATTGTTTAATGTAATGCAACAACACAATTTGAGTGTTTAAAGGGGTCATATGATGC